CAACTTTCAGATATTTTGATGCAAAATGATGACTCAAGGTGACAATCTTGAGTTTTAGAAAGAATTAGCAAGAGAGTGATAGGATAAAATATATTTCATAAGACTTTGAAATTTTATGCAATGCGCCATAGAGGTCAAATAAGCATAAATTAATTTGAATCCTCTCTAATGGAAACCTGATAGATCGTGTGATGCCTTATGCTAGGTCACTTGTACTCAGTCTGCATGATCAGATCACTTGTTCGTTGTCCCTACGTGAAAATTTAAGTGAATTGTTGTACTTGCACCACGAAATGCAGTCTAGCATGATCCAGGCTGGCTCCCTTCAAGATATGTCAAAGAAAGAAGTCAAGTTGTACCTCCACCCTGGTGCAGGGAGGAGGGAGGAGGGTGGGTGGGTTGCCTAAATTGAATGGCAGGCTAGTCTCACTTTCCTGATTTAGTGTGCAGGAATAATTCTTGATAAATTTGAGTGGATCTGGTGCTTAGGCTAACTTATTGGCTGCTTTATACTGCTGCAAAGTAAAAGTAAGTCTTCATTTATATGCATCACATGCAGGTAGCTTCACATGAACTAGGCATATATTCTGTTTAGGAACCTCTAGCCCACGAAAAAGTGATTCCCATTTTAAGTTGATATTAGTCGACATTAGCAAATTGAAAGAGGCTTCTTGAAATATAGGTAGGCAAGACCGACCGCAAGTCAATAGTTAATATGTTACTATGCCGAATTGAAGAGGAATCAAAGTCATCGACAGGTCTTCTTTTGGGCAAGCGTTCAAGTGTAAAGGAACAGCTTCATTGTGGGATATCGGCAATCCAAGTGCAAACCCATAAACAATGGGGTTGGGGTTGAAACGTAAAGATTAAACTTTGTCTACGCAGTTGCTCAAATCGTACCAAACAAGATCTAGAAGGGAAATCCAGCAGACTGTAACATTGGGCAACTTCGAATTATACTTCTTTTAGAACGCATCAGAGTACTCATTTGTATGCTTTGAATTATGGAATGAGAGAGTAAAAACAAATCAACACTCCGTCAACCGTCTCTCCTAATCAGTCAACTCTGTATTAATGTATATGCACCTCCCCATCGCCCCCCTCCCTCCGCCACACCTTCCATCACAGCGCTTACTCACTTTTCTCTTTGTTGTCCTAAAAACAATCATCTTAACAAATCACCATAAAATTTCAAGAGCTCGCATTTCAATAGACTTCCATCTTCAACTCCTCTTCCGTGGACATTCAAATTGTGGTTACATTCTAATTAGCTTCTGTTGTATTCCCAAAAAGGAATGGGTTAGGACAGAATACCAAATTCAGGAAATCGTGTTTCAGCTGCAAAAATAAGGATGACAGTCACATGATCCCATGAAAAGTACATAATCAAATTCAATTCAGGCTTTCCACCATTCATTGGGTAAACTGTTAATTTCACATCTTTCACTGTTCCCAAAGGTGAATCTTCTGCATCTTCAGGTCTAACTTGACTTGGGGCGTCTTTTGAAATTGGTGAAGGAGAGAGGGTTGTTTAAAATTGACACAAATGATCTTTGACTGAATTTCAACAATATTCTCTCAACGGATTTGAGTATTCCACCCACGTCCTTAGTCATTAACAACAACCATTGTTATTCAGGAGGATTCAAATGGATATCGGATTGACTGAAAGGTTGGTGCACACACGACACAACTTCCGGAATGTTCTATGGTGAATGAATTGATAACATGGTGCATTCCACACGACATTGTTCTTTCAATAACAGTTGATTCCTCTAAAAAGTTGAACAAAGACCTCCAGTCGAAGGTCTCTCCCTCCTTCTCAAAGCTTTAGGCTAAGCCCAACTGTCTCATAGATCAATTTCTTTTGAATAATCTCCAATATTTCAAGGCCAAAATGGCAGTCTCAATCTTGTTGTTTCAAAAAGAACACATTTACTCACCTGCAATTTCTTCCACATAGCTAACTTGTTAACTTGTATCTCAACAACACTCTACGATCCATGACTCGAACGTGGGTCGTGTATGTTGGCTAAGTGAATTGTGAGAATAGATGGAAAGATTTCTAGGAAAATGTCGATCATTTGAAAGTTGTTATTCAGTCGAATAAAATTAGATTTAATGGGAAAGGCAATGACGAGCAACAAAATAGTAACTACACTGAGGCAAAAGCGAGAGACTTCAGCTTCCATGCACTCAAATACACTCTGGAGAGACTAGACTGTTCTTAGTCAGGAATTCGTATACTTGACTGCGAGTGTCACCCTGTAATAGCATCACTTCCCTGAATTCGTTATTCTGCTTAATCCCACCTTTGCAACCGAATGTCCTCATGCAGCACTTGAGAATGCTACCAAGGTGATATTTCTCAGGAAGTTCAGACACAGTTGTTACCAGTTTGTGAATCGCCAGTGAGTGGATTCTGATATGAACCAACCCATCATCCGGCTCTTCAATTGTGTCACCAACATGGCCATCTGCAGAAGGAAAGTCACTCAAAGTCATCAAATACTTACAATCGAATCTGAAGTTTGGATCTTCTTTCATCCTTCCAAAAATAGACATTAGCTTAAAATGATACACTTCTCAACCACCTTCGTGATATAACGCTGATTACACCTCAACGCATCCACGAAAAATTAAATTGGACTTTAAGTGAGCAACGTTCAAACCACCTTCTACTAACAACTTTTGGCTTTATGGAATCATTCGCCAACACTTGAATTTTGGTGTTTTTGTACACACAGAATTTGTCTGCTGTAATGACGTGAGTAGGAACGCAAAGGAAGAATTAGAAAAGGCGTCACTAGGCCGAACTTATACTGATTTCTTGGTTGTTGAATTACTGAACTAAGAGAATTTATATTGTAAACGACCATGAAAATATTATTGCAGATGACCGATCTTTCACAAACTTGGTCTCAAAGGCCCCTTCCAAGAGGAATATTATTTCAATGATGACTAATGCTCATTGCAGTCCTTGTGCCAAAGACCGAATAGCTTTCGAATGGGAGCAGAAATTTCTTACCTCTTTACATATAGGTAGACAGTATCTAACTGAGTATCGATTCTCCAATCACCTTTCAAGTTTCAGCATGGAACAAGACGTAAGAAATGGAGGCTGAAGAGAAAAGATTTGAAAGGGCAATTAGAAGAAACAGAGAGAAAGTGAGATTGACGAGTCAAGAATTTGACGTAAATTTGAATCTTTATGCGCCCTGCAGTTCAGAGGAAAGATGCGGATGTTGAAATCTAACTGAAATGTCTACTTTCGAAAGCTAATGGGCAGATATGCAGCATTCGATTGAATATTCAAAGTCGTCTGTGGATACTCATCAGATGATCATGAGGAGGAAGACAACACGGGTCTTCGACTGGAATTACAAAGTTGTGCAAAGATTGTTATTAAATAATGCTAGTCACTGTTAATTGACCAAATCTAAAATGTAAAATGCATGACGGGGTAAAATGATATTGACAAATTAAAAGACAATGGGGAGGATTGCAGATCAAGGTCGTTTCAGGAATGGCACATCTCTATAATTCAGATCACATGATTTGAGATAGTTGAGAGTTATTTGATCTGGTAGAGAGTCGAAGTAAAGGTGAGTGCTTGACTGTGAGTCTGTGAAGTCTTCACTGGTGTGAGTCTAAGCAGTGCAACCACTAGAAATAAACTTGGTTCGACTGTTAAATTTTTCCACATGACTTGTTCTATAGAATGAATGCTTTATGGTCATCTATTTCCTCACCATTGTTTCGACAAACACTTCTTCCTTGTGACCATCCAAGTAGACTCCAATACATGTGTTCTAAATATTTTTTGAAAATAGTTCGTCAATAATTAATTAAGACTGAGATCTTCCCCATATCATACTCCAACTTGCATGTTTATGAACTATTAATGTCTGTAAAATAAATTTTCTACTGTTAATTTATCAATAGAAAGCAAGTTAATTCTACAAATTCAATTCTTGAACTTTTGGTAAAAAAGTGCGAGTTGAACTGATTACTATCATTTGCTGAGTGGTTCGCAATACGGAGAACTACACTATATTGCGTTTCCACTACCTCTCATTCCACAGCCTTAACCCCTATTGGTGGGAAAGCAACTGATGAGGGAGTAATTACAAATCCCATTTAAAGTGTCCGAATTTAACAGACTGAACATTACACATCAAGGCACAAATTCCATGATGCATAATATTCACCTCTCATAATCCTCACATAATCCTTTCCTCAACCTCACCAATATCTCTCGCAAGATTCCCCCGTATAGAAAGTCTTCTGAAGAGAGATAAGTTGACTCAAGGATAAAAGAGGAACAGACGTATGTTGTGGAACATTTTGATTTGAATCGTGTGTCACTGGCATACAGCTTAGCCAATCAATTTATT